AAGGAACCAGTATATACCCGCCCCCTTCACCCAGAATATGCACAAAATCATATAGTCAACCCTGTACACCTTTAAGTAATGACTCCAAATAATCCTCCAAACCTCCAAAAGAACCGCCTTATCTCTCCATTTCAAATTCAAGGTATAACCTATCTCCTCTACCCTCCGTCCCCTTATTACTTCATCCCATATACCACCCCCGTACCCCAACAAGACCAATTCCGATTGTGTAAGTATCTGTAATTTGTAACCCAACCTGAAGCATAAGATAAGTTACAACCAATAAGACCCCTTTTATCACCAGAAATACAGGGAACCAAACAAGGATTCCAACTGTAGTCAAGAAAAGTCATAAGACTAGGATTATAAGTGAAGGAGATACTCAAAACCACCCACCTTCCTCTCATATCAAAAAAAGAACTAATACTTTCCCAATACCCCCAGAAAGAATCCAACTCTAAAAGAAAACCAAAAAACCATTTCCTTTTAGAATTGGTGACACCAAGCAACTCAAAAAACTCACCCCCCCCCCCCTATAAAAATTGTATATATGTATCCACCAGACCCTCCAAGCAACCTCTATTTTCCACTTATATAAACATTGCCAGTCCCTACACACTAAACATCCCCTGTGCACCAAAATAGAGAAATCCCAATGGATCAACCAATCCTCCAGAATAACCTCCTTATGTCTCCCAAACAAGTTCAAGGATTTACCTATCTCCTCTACCCTGCACTCCCTTGTAACATCAGCCCAGAAACCCAACCCAAGAATCCCAAGAGCAGAAATTAAAATGTACCTGCAAGAAATTAATTGGACCCTTCCCCCCCCCCCAATAGTACCCATGTGTATCCCAAGTGTATCCCAAAGCACCCCCCGAATAGAACCCACCCCAAAGGATCTCATAAGATTTAAAGATTCCCACTCTAACAATACTCTCAAAAGAAAGCTTCCTCATAACGAACTTTTCCATCACAGGAAGGGAAACGCTCATGGGCCAGAGAGGGAGAGTAAGGCAAGAACAATAACCATCACCAATAGAAATCATACTAGTCAACATCACCTGAACCCTAAACCATCTGAGAAGCACTCCAAACCAAAAAACCACCAGGCTCCAGAGAATGTACATCATATCAGACATAAGTGGAAGTAGCAATAAACCCATCATCCCCCATCTTAAGGTTCCACATGGAAGCAGCCCTTCTCGTTTGAGAATTGTTTTTAACCTTCATACCCAGCAATCTTAATTTTACAGTCGAGATGATCTGCTTGGTCAATATAGTAGCAGACCTCTCCTTTCCATGATGTAATCTGAGATTACGCTCTTGCCAAATAAAGTAAACCATAGCAGCAACAATGAGTCTCTAAAAAATGCTCCAAATCGAATTATTGAAAGAATTAGAGCATATTTGCATCACAAAATCATCCCAGCTCATATTATTTGTCTTTGATATTCTCTGAAGATCACCAATACCCCCAAATTCCGCCAGAATATTCCAAATCTCTTTTACATACTGACAAGTGATAAAAATATGATTATGCGACTCCAACCCATCTTTGCACATTACACATTGAGGGTCTATGTCCAAGGACCACGACCCAATTCTGTCTTTTGTTCTTAATCTGTTCCTAATCGCAAGCCATAAAATAAAAGCATGCCTAGGAACCCCATGAGAGAACCAAACCAAACTGGCCCAATTCACCGGACTCTCCTCAGCTCTGATATCCTTCCAAACAGTAGCAATACTAAACTCAGAAGGAACACCCTTCTTGTTTTTCCACCAAACTTTATCTCTGGTTCCCTCAATAAGATTAGGCAAATATAATTGAAGAATTTCCCCATACTTGTTCCATATCTCCATAGGCCATGACCATAAACCATCAATGACAACATCTCTGACCTTCAACTTCAGATCCATCCTTGCAGAGTAGATAAAGGGTTTAGGGTTTTGGGTTTAGGGTTTAGGGTTTTAGGGTTTTAGGGTTTTAGGGTTTAGGGTTTAGGGTTTAGGGATATTTGCACAAGCACTGAGTATACTGGCAAAGCACACCTCATCAGGTGCAATCCCATCTGATCTCATTCTCTGAAACATGCTGAAGGCATCCTCTTCTTCTTCTTCCTGCACAAACCCAACTATCATTACATTCCAAGAAACATTATCTCGATTTTCTATCATGTCAAACTGTTTTCTGGCATCATATAGACAGCTGGCTTTTGCATACATATCTACCAATGCATTTCCCACAAATAAATTCGCATCAAACTTGTTTTTGATAGCAAGTGAATGCAAATGTTTCCCTATTTAGACACTTCTCAAAAAAGCACATGCGCTCAAAACACTGGTATAAGTAAATTCATCAGGTTGGAAGCCAGAACATCTCATGTTTATAAATAGATGAATCACCTCGTCAACATTTTTATTTTGCGCATAACCCCCGAGCATTGTGTTCCACAAAACAATATTTTTCTCATCTAAAGCATCAAAGACACTCCTTGCAGAATCCATTTCTTGACACTTTGCATACATATTGATTAAGGAACTTCCCACATAAACATTGGAACATAACCCTTGTTTGATTGCTTGAGAATGAACTTGAGAACCACAATCTAGATCAAATGTAATAGCAATAGCACTCAAAACACTTCCTAGAGTGGATCTTGTGGGTTTAACCCCAGATCTAGTCATACCTTGGAAATAATCAATAGCTACATTGTGAGAACCTTCACGAGCATGCCCTGAGATCATGACATTCCATGCAACAACATTTGGATTGGGCATTTGGTTGAACAAATGGCGTGCATCGTCAAGATGTCCCGATTCCAGGCATGCGCTTATGATAGTTACAAATGCTACTTGGTCTGGTATATGGCCCAGTGGCAACATATCCTTAAATAATCTTAGAGCCTTTTCAAGAAAACCAACTTGAACATACCCGGCAATCATCGYCGTMCAAGAAACTGTATCAGAGCATACAGACCCATCAAATATCTCTCGTGCATCATCAACAAGGGCACATTTTGYATACATGTCAATAAGTGATCCTTCACAAAATGAATTACATATGAACCCTGTTTTGATAACATGACAATGCACCACTTTACCCAACACAATGTCAGTCAATCTAGCACAAACCGATAAAACAACGGCATAGGTGAATTGATTTGGATACACCCCATAAATTTGCATAGCGCCGAATATGTGTTTAACATCTTCTAACATTCCATACCTTGAGTGCATCGATAAAATTGAGTTCCAAGCCCGTGTATCTTTTTGTTCCAACTGCTTGAAAGCTTTTTGAGCAAAGTCCATGTTGCCGCATTTCGCATGCAAATCAACAATGGCATTGCCAAGTTTTCCTTTTGAATCAAATCCAAGTAGCAAACTTTGAGCATGAATGAGGTTAACGGCTCTGGAGGCTTGTACGACTGTTTGAGGCGATTCATCAAACAACCTATGGGATTGAACTTGTTTGCAGTATTGCAAACACACCGTCAGAAGACGAGAGTATGCTTGTTGCCCATGAATCATAATGGGTTGTCGGATTCGAAGCTCATGGGTTACTTGCTGCAAATTTCGCACACCACGGCTRCAAAAAGTTCATTTGGTTGGTTTGATGTATGCTCTTTTGCCACATATCACTCGTTAAGGTACTACCATGTGTTTTTGCTTCGTTTAATACTAGAGCTACAAAAGGCACGAAAACAATATGGGTTAAAGTTAAACTGAGGTGCTGCTTATGTGAAACAATGTACTGTTGTTTTACATTGTGAACCAAGCACATGTTAATCACTTATAATGTTCCATTTGAAAATTGCAGTTAAAAATTTCACAAAAGAATATGACGATATTGGAGTCAAAATAAAGGAATAAAATTCTCGTTTTTAAATTTTTATATGTGATTTAAGTATTTTATATTAAAAAATGTGGTGTTTTATTTTAGTTTGAAAAGTAAAGATTTATTATTTATATAGAATATAAGGAACTATCTACTTCCCTTATCGAAATTAGGTCAAACCCTTTTTTTACCATTTATAGGTTAAACTTTCATTTAGAATTAAAATTGGTTAGAGTTTTCGTATTTATTACAAAMTTATCACTTTGTTTCATAGCCTTTGATCAAAACCATTAAATGGTTGAGATTGGACCTCATGGTTCTCAACCTTTTAGGGATACATGATTAAGCCACCCACCCACCCCACTATACATCTATATACACACTTATGTGTGTGAGGAATGGTGTTTAATGTTATTCAGTGAGGTGTGGTTTAAAACATGTATAYCATAACATGTATTAGGCATTCCYAGAAAGACAAGTGACACGTTAATATTTTGGATTTTCAAAGTGACTATGACCTTCGTTTCAACATGCTGAAAATCACCTTTACTTGCTTGATACCACAGTTAGTGCAATATAATCATAATATAACATAACCACATAAGTTGAATTTTAACAAGCTTCAATGGTATATAATCAGCAAACAAATATACAAACGAAGTGTATAAATGATATTCCAAAGTCCAAACACAACAGTAGATGCAGATGAATAAGAATAACAGAAAGCTTAAATTTCAAACAGAACTACAGCAGCAGAACAGAAAGCTCCAAAATTCAAACTCAATCACCCTCCACCATGAAACACAAGTCCAAACATAAGCAATATCAAAAAAAAAAATTGTCAATAATTCCAAACAAAGTCCCTCAAGACATCAAGAAATGAACAATAAATTTGTACAAATTCATCCAAAAAGTTTGTGATACAAAACATATAAAATCAGAAGAAGCATCCATAAAATGAATACCCTATAAATTTATGTAACTATATTTTTAACATTCTAATCATGATAAAGTTAAATACTTTAGATCAAGCAACCCGTAAACAAAACTCGTAACCTTCAGGTTTGATCGAATAAGGAGTAGTATGCTGTGAAGCAACAAGACGAATCTGAGATCTCAATTCTGGATTAGGGTTTTCTGGATACAAGAAATAGAACACCAAACCATTGCTATTCCAGAAGCCAAATCAAGCCCCTTGGTGGGGGTTTTTCTTCGAATCGAAGCCAGTCAAAACCTTGGTTGCATTTTTCTTTGAATGGAAGCCAATTTGTTGCATTTTTTCAAATCCCGGAAGTCAAAACCCTGTGTTTTATTTGGATTTGAGGTTGTAGTAGATGCCAAATAATTTGGTGCAAAACGATTAAGTGGTCAGAATGATAAAGAGGCTATGTATGATTTAGTGCATAATAATGACGGGTAAATGTTTTGAATGGGATGTCTATATGACATAAAATAACCATTTTAACCCTCTTTTATGACTTAATGTTTAATGAAATATGACCACTTGATAAATATTCTAAACTAACAAATTAACTTGCAAATATAAATTACAAAAAAATATAAACCATATATCACTTTGCAACATAACATACATCAATCAAAACATTTATATATAGTTCATCATAGGTCATAAAAATGGTATATCATAAATGAACAATGGAACTAATGGTCATGGATGCAAAGAAGAGCAAAAGAACTGGGGAAGAAAAAGGACTGGAACTGGGTTGAATAATGCCCTGTTGTAACATCTCATGTACCATTACCTCAATTTGATTTTTTTGGCTGTGGGCATATCTGTATGGACGAACTTTAATTGGGTTACTACCATCCAAAAGGGGTATAGCATGATCATGGGACCTTGTTGGTGGCAACCCGGATGGTGTGGCAAACACATCCTGAAACTCCGTCAAAAGAGTTTGCAATTCAGCGTTGAATTCGGAATCATCAGATTTGTGCACCATAGGATCGCTAACGAAACAGAAGAACAATATTTGATAAGACTCGGCTAGGGCTCCAGTGGTGTGCATTCTTTGAATGTGGTGGTACTGGGCAGGTTGAGGAAGGGAAACATTGTTACCATAGAGGGTAACGAAAGAGTTATCGTGATAAAATTTCATTGACAAGGCATTGAAGTCAGCGATACGGGGTCCTAAAGTTGCTAACCACGAGGCACCACGAACCAATTCTGCACCTGTAATAGGCAGAAGATAAACCGGTACATGTAAACGATGCCCTTGAATGACAACATGCAGATTGTCGACAAAGCCCTCAGCTGTGAGATTATTGCCATTGCCCACCATGACTTTGAAATTAGGAGAAGGTTGAATTGGCAATTTTAGACAATGAGCTAATCGAGGTTGGAAGAAATTATCAGAGCTCCCACTATCAAGGAGAATTTGAAGTTCCATTCCATTGATATACCCGGTAAAACGTAAGGTACCTTTGCTTTGATATCCCCGAATAGCGTTAAACGATAAATGATGGTCCGGTGGAGGAAAGGAAACAGGGGGCTCTTCTATAAAAGGAGGGTCAGATGAATGAGTAGTGGTAATAAAGTGAATGTCCTCATCATCTCCCATCAGTAAGAGCATTTGGCGATTTGGGCATTTATGCCCGAGGGAGAATTTTTCGTCGCAGGTATAGCACAGGCCCTTTTCACGGCGGATCTGCATTTCAGCTGGTGAAATACGTTTGATCGAAGGTTGTTTAGAGGTAGCGGTTATGGGTTTTGAAGGGGTCGGTAATAACGGCGGTAAGGGTGATTTTGTGGTGGCGAGAGGAGTAGTTGAGCGAGGAAAGGAAGCAGGGGTGTAAGGTTTACTTACCGGGATGGAAACATATTTTTCCTCAAAGAGTTTAGCCAGAGATACCGCTTTCGCCAAGGATTGTGGGCTTTGGGCGACCACATCCCGACGAATGTCGTTACGGTGCCCACTAATGAAGCAATCAAGCAAGGCCTCGGCACTAAGTCCTTGAATCTGATTAGCTAATGTTGTAAACTCCATGTAGAAATCAGCAACAGTGGTGGATTGTGTGAGCTTGAAGAGATTTGCACGAGGGCAATCAAACGGTGAAGGACCAAATTCCAATTCCAAGGCCGAACGAAAGGAAGCCCATGTAATGAAAGGTTTACCACGAGTATGTATTTGAAACCATGGCACCACACCTTTGTCAAGGTGAACGGCGGCTATTGTAATACCTTGAGCATCTGGTGTGCCATAATAATCAAAGAATTGCTCCGCCTTAAACAACCACTGCATTACCTCTGTCCTGTCAAAACGCGGAAAATCCAACTTGACATTACGGACCTGAAATGGTGGGTGAATGAGCTGTCCTTCACGCCCGCTAGAGTTTGCGAGAGCAGCTTCCAAACGAGCGATTTTAGCTGTATGCTCTGATCTTTGAGTGGTGTATTCTTCATGGCGTTTCTCCATTAGGTCAATCATTTTCTTGAAATCTGCTTGTATCTCCTTGAATCTTGTAGCCTCTGCCATAGAGAGGTATGGAATGAAAGCACCAATGTAATGACGAGTGAAATAAACACTAAGACAAATCGGGTTGCAAATACTTTATTAATTGATGAAGCTATCTGGATAAAACATCACAGTATGCTTTTAGGGAAAATAAAGGACAATTGTAGTGGTAAGCTTGAAATACAGAAGAAGAAGATAACAGAGAATTCTAGAAGGAGAGAGAGAGGTCTTTTTCCAATCGCTGCCTTATTCCTTGCACCCCACTGCACTATGTAGTACCTCCATCCACGTATTTTCTATTGGGCCTCCTGATTCGGTTACCTCTCCTGATGGGCTGTATGGAAGGATTTGCTGCCACGTGTCCCTCCCATTCCTCATTGCCGGTTGTAGCTTGTTCCCCACGTGATATTGTCGGTATTGGAATATTGGGAATCACAGTGTGCTAGAATTTATGTCCTCAAATAATGGTCACGAACATATGTTGTATATTAACAGCTAAACTAGAAAAACGACCTCAAATATTGTTCCCTCTTGCAATCTGTTTATCCAATGGCCACAACAAGTACTTCAATGTAGAATTTAGAACACAACATAAAAAACGTATACATGGCTATAAATACCTGCATCTATCACCAAAAGTCAGATTCAATAAGAAGGATTATAAAATTGATGGTATCGGTTAAGCTTAACCTACATAACCCAAGTCCTAACTACTAGAATCAATGTGGAAGAAAATGGAGTAATTGATCATCTGAACTAAGCAAAGAACTAAAAAAGTCATCACAACTGAAGTGGCAATTAGAAATGCATAAATCTGAAATTTAAGCTCATAAACAAAATCATACCGAACAAATAAACAATGATCAAGAGACTTCGGGTAACATAAAGTCAAAAGATATTTGATATTTAAGCTCATAAACAAATTAGTTTACAATGAAATAACAACAAAGGCAAAAATAGGCTTCATTTAAGAAATTCTTCCCACAAGACTTGCAATGTTAACATGGTGAGTTGCTCTTCTCTAGAACCATAGAACAATTCTTTTGTAAGAATAAGTTGTCATTGAGTTAATATCCTCAAACAGGTCAAGTCATCAATGCTTTATAATGTTGTAGTTTGGTGTTATAATGTGAGATAGCATACATATAGTAGGGGTGTTTTGGATTGCTATTTTTTAAAGTTATTTCAATCTAACATTATTGATAAGTTATTTTATGGTGTTTGGATAAAAAAAATGATTGTATCGGTGTCAAATCGGTAATAAGTTATTTTTGATAAGTTAATCCTTCCTGACTTATGAAAAACTGTTTATTAATAATTTACAATTTTAACCTTGTTTTATTTAACTCCGATTTGCTACAACATAAGTTAATAAGCACTTTTATAAAAAAGCATAGGTTGTTTTAAATAAGTAGTCCCAAACATCCCCTTAGTTTCGTTGAATGGTATCAAGACGTTAATGAAAAAGTAACACGAAGAATTGAGTGAGGCCTATTTAGGTCGTGTTATAAACGCCCTAGCTAAACCTATATAATTGTTTACAATGAAATTAGGGTACTTAATGTTAAGAGAGGTCCAAGATACAAAATTATTTGGGTTTTAGAATCATCAAGAGATATACTTTATTTGTCAAATAAGATTCACTTTTTCACGATTCAAAGACGACTTCTTAATGGAATTATTAAGAGGTAAACAAACAACCATAAAATAAACAAAGTTCTTTTAGGGTGACCAATATGAAAAAGAGTTTGTGTTAAATTTATTAAAATATACTATATGTTTAATAGTAAARTTATGAATTAATTCAAAAATAATTAATAATAARWCTATTARTTAAYTTTAAAATATATTATAGTTCTTRAAAATGTTAAGGGTTTATTAAATCTTTGCTCAGATTTTTCAGAGATCTTTGAGATCAACTAATATATCTGTTTCTATTGTAGTCTTCACTATTTAGAGTCTCTTTTTATCAACGATAACTAAATCAGTTCACTCATTTATAAAGTACATTTACTTGCAAATAGTGGTATGTTTTTAGTTACTTTCCCTCTTTACTTGATTTAGAAAATCAAGCTTTAAGTAATCACATTTACGCATATCAAGTTTGTAAAATTTCACATTCACAGGTAATTTTTATTCTTTTATTATGAGTAACTTATGATTTTGCAAAATAGTTGATGAAATCAAAAAATATTTCTTGTTCCTTTTTGCCCCTCCTTGTGTGGATTTTTGACACATGTTGTGTCTCCATTTCTAGACTTCCTTGGTGACCAGCTAGCATAAGTATAACATACTTTGTATAAAAGCATAGAGATTATAGGAGAAATTCATCTTTAACATTGCAATGATGCAAAGAGAAAGGGAAGCTTTGGTTCCAAGAAAAATCCTAAATTTAAGCAAGATATCCTAAAATCAATCGGTGGATCGGATGTTACTGTTTCTCCTCCCTTATCTTGGGAATGAAATACAGGATGCATGGTTTCCTCGACACTACTTGATTCATCAGAAGAAAAAGGATTTGTTGCGTTATCCGGATTAGCATTGATACTCACAAACGGGAATTCGGTTTCAACAAACACAACATCACGAGATTCAAAAAGAACTCCCATTTCCAAGTTATACAAGTTCCAACCTTTCTTTCCATTAGGATAACCCAAAAAAGCACATTTTCTACTTCGACCAACAAACGTATCTTTTTCTTCATTTCCAAGTTATACAAGTTCCAACCTTTCTTTCCATTAGGATAACCCAAAGACTCTAAAAAAAGTGATGCATGACCAAATAAGAGCTCGTAAGGTGTCTTCCCACCCAATATTGGCATAGGAGTAAGAATGCATTCCCCCCAGAATTGAAATGGGTAAATTGGCTTGAAAACGCAATTCCATTCAGCCCACCCATTTTGTTGCAATGTTCCAACCATAGATATTTGATATAAAATACACGCTCCTTAAAGTACTCATTTTTAAACAAGTTCGTTTTGTGCCATCATCACTACGGATAAATTTCACTTGTTTATTGAATTGTCTTTCAGTTAAGTCCAAAGAATTCTTAAGAATTTGGGGAACTTCATTTTTTCCTTTTAACAAGTAAATACAAACAGCACTAGAACAATCATCTATGAAAGTTAAAAAGTATGTAGCACCACAAAAAGTTGGTTCTCTGTAGGCACCCGAAAATCACAATATACTAAATCAAAAATATTGTTTGCTTTATCTTGACTAAGAACAAATGGAACCCAAGTTTGTTTTTCTCGAAAACAAACGTCACAATATTCATGTCCTTTTCCAACTTCAATACTTCCATTGGTTTGAGAAATCTCTTCTACAACTCGCATAGAGGGATGTCCTAACCTTCTGTGCCATAATTCTGCATTCCCAACTCCATCCATTTTGTGCACACGGATAGGAAGATCATCCTTTGCGACATATAGTCCCTTGTGTTCTTCACCCGGTCCAATCAGCATCTCGAAGTGCGGTCCTGTACAACACACATACAATCAGTGAATTTCAATATATCTCTTATCATGAGCCAATTGAGCAGGTAAGTTTTGGCACAAATAGAACATCTTTGAGAAGTAATTTTCCCAAAGAGGCAGTTCCTTCCTTTGTAGCTGTGACTTGTTCACCGGCATCCGCACAGGCCATGGAGGAATGTCTTGTAATTTAGTAAAGGACTCAACAACACCACTCATGTAGTGTGAAGCTCCCGTGTCAAATATCCATTGCAATTTTTTCTTACTGGACAAATGTGTGCTTGAGGCCGATTTGTGGGAATTCCATAAAGACTTTAAAGTTGCCCAGTCCTCACTACTCAGATTCTCTAATCCAGATTTGTCTTCATCTACAAGTCCAGCTCCAACGCCAGGTGCTTGAGCCGCATTTGCTCTTGCCATTCCTCTCTTGCCACGTCCTTGTTGCCCATTACCCCACCATTCCGGATATCCGTTCAGTCTGAAGCATGTTTAAATGCTATGTCCTAGCTTCTGGCAGTGAGAGCAAATGATACCATCGTCTCTTCGATCCCCCCTGGATTTCGTAAGCTTGTGTTTGCTGTTTTGACAGCAAAACTTACTGGATCAGAGCGTCCTAGCATGCTTTGTGTCATTGTTTTTACTTGTTCTTGCTCTGTTACCTGTGAGTAAACACGATACAAATTTGGAAGTGGATCAGTAGCAATAATATTTGAACGAATTGTACTATAAGACGTTACATCGAGTCCCATTAGAAATTGATGAACTCATTCCTCCTCACTTCTCTTCTAAAGTTTTGCATTTAGATTGTTGGTGATTTGTATCACTAATATCATTTAAGTGTAATGGGATTAATTTGTTGACCAATGTAATCATGATAAATATCGAACAAGTAAGGAAGGTGCGGAATGCACACTTGTTTGAATTTATTTTGATTTAGGGGTGAAGCCCCTAAACGACGGGGGTCCGGGGACAGCGCCCCCGGTGGCGGGGTCCAAGGGGCGGCAGCCCCTGACGGGGTCCAAGGGGCAGAGCCCGATTTTTGGCCCGGTTTTAAACCCGGTTTTGGGTGAAAAACTGCCGTTTTTGACAGTTTTCACACGTTTTTTCAATTTTCGAATTGGTCAAATTTTCGTGAAGAGAGAAAAGGTACACAGATTTTCATAACAATTTCGGATTCGAAGTTCTGTTAATCACTGAATTTAATCCGATTGAGATTTCGATTGTACCGTCGAAATACTTCAATCTGAAAGTGATAAATGACTTTCAGTGGATTCCAAGCGAAGTTTTTCTAACATAGATTGCATTTACACCCGTTACAGTTGAACATTGGCATCTGATCGTAGTCATTCAGATCATCCCAAATCTTCTTGATTCTTCCGTGGTAAGCCATTACAGTGTCGCCGTTTTACTTGCAATTTGATACCTCTGTTTCAATTGGTGCACTCGTGCACCATTACGAACAAAGAATCATTGTTGAATATCTTCCCACAATTCTTTTGCTGTTTGAGAAATTGTAGATCTCAGACTTGGCTCAATCGTGTTAAAAATCCATGAAATTATCATGGAATTCACGGTCCACCAATCTTCAATATTCTCGGAGTCTTCATTTGGTTGTTTCATGGTGCCATCAGTGAAACCCTTTTTCTTCTTTGCCCTGAGAGAAATTGCCATAGCTTTCACCCATTCTTCATAGTTTGGTCCCTTCAACTGGGTCTGAGTAATCAGATTCCCAGGGTTGTCGTTTGCTGTCAGTGTAAAAGGAGAGATGTCTTCTTTCCATCGTCCCCAGCTAGTACTGGGTTTCGTCATGAGAAATTGGAATGCTCTGATACCATGTAAAAGCACAGAGATTTTAGGAGAAATTTATCTTGAATATCAGAATGATGCAAAGGGAATTTATACAMAGTACAGAGAAGCTTTGGTCCCAAGAAAAATCCTAAATTGAAGCAAGATCTCCTAAAATCAAGCAACTACCTATAACATATCAAAGGAAACAAATATGAAAAAGATATATATGAATATCTATAGATGTACATTGCCAACACTCTACTGTTTACCTTTGAAATACACATAATTTGTAACACACCTGTGAATTTTTTGATACAGAAGCATGTTTGAGTACCTGGGAATTGGATGTCTCGAGTTTGTGGCGAATATGTTCTAAGGATATCACATCTAACACAGGCCTCGACTCAATCTTTCAAGCTTTTCTCTCTCTATTTTGGGGATCTTTAGACTCAAAACAGAAACCTCCAGTTGCCAAATTGTTTTACATTAATACTGTTAATATTTTATTGCAGTTGAGAACTGCATTAAAAATTAAATATAGATTCCTTTCTATAAATTTTGGTTTCCGCTGTTCTCGTTGTTGTGTTTTTATCTGCAAGGAATATTCCTACAGTGGCTGTCTTCGACCAGAAACGGTAATACACCAAGACAATTTCTGGGTTTTTTCTTTCCTGTAAAAAAATAATATCGCTCCGTAAAACATGCAGACAGTTTTCCAGAAAGCAGATTTAGATTTCTGCAATCCTCAAACAACAACAGTTGCTAGAAACAACTTATTTAGTTTATGTGTTTCATCGATCTTCAAAGAGAAACAACAAACGATTTTCTTTCATCACAAACAACAATTTTTCATGCTGTGAAACAACTTACATAAAGTGCTATATCGAAAGCGCATAACTTTTGCCTAGACCAACTGCCCATGCTCACCCCGTTTGGGCTCTCGCTCGAATCGGAACCTTTATGCGTTGGTGATTGGATGATGGAAAAAACAGCAAGCTACGGCTCCAATTTTTTTTCTCTTCATTACGTAAAAAGTAAAAATAAGGCATACTTATAACATATCAACATGTTTATAGCGACCCATCAAGTGATCAATCACTACATGAATATATCAAGTGATCAATGATATTCACATGAAAATTCAAACAAAGGTTTCAATTCTTGAGTCATATTTGGTGCATTTCTAACAAGGGGTGATGGAATCAAAGGGCTCACATTGAGTAACAGCTGAACATCCACCAAATGGTTTAAGACCTGCAACATGGTCAACCGCTTCTACCAGCAAAAGGAACATAGGAAGACGTTCATAAAACAAACACTGATGTTGCCCGGAGTGCTGGTTGTTTCTTTTCAAACACCAAGGAAAGGCAAGCTCGCCCTACACACAAAAAGGCCCAAGCATTTGCATTAATAAACAGGTCACAGAATACAAACTTAGTAGAATGTAATGACTTATCACAAAAGATACATGAAGAATATATGGATTTGGTGAGACGAAGAACATAAAGCTATATCAGCGACACAATAGCAATGTGTGGTGAGGAAGTCAGGAAGAGCGGTAGATTTTTAGAGCACATACCATGATAGAGAGCACCTGTTGATAGAAAAAGGGGGGAGATTTAATTCAAGACAAAGGGGCTGCTTGAAACCACTTGAAAATGTCATCCATATTTTTTGTTACTCTCTCCAAACCACTTGAAAGTTGTATAGTTATACAAGTAAATATTAAAGCAAAATCAAGAATCAACGCATATAAGACCTTGCATTACATGCTAAAACATATAAAAAGTAAACCGAAGGCACCAAGTAATACCACAGAGAGTAAGTTGAGGGGAATGTAAAATATCTATACTACATTATAATGTATTTAAACAAAAACTCTTAAAGACAAGCTTTTAAGCATGGAGTACAAGATATTAAAGCACAAAACTGAAAGATCTCTTGATCACAAATTTTTATACATGATGTACAAGCTATTGATGCAGACTTTTACAACTTGTTCATTGCTACTTTATCCAGCTCAATATCCCCCTAGACATGGCCATATCCCGCGTCAGTATTTAAACGATTACAAATGGATTCACCAAAAACCGATTTCAAGATTTTGAATCTACAGCTTCTTTGTATTCGACTATGATGCTTCCCCTTTCTCCATTCCTTTCCACCTCCTCTTTCAAGACCCATGCATCTTCAATTTTCTTTGCCTTTCACTTCTTTCTATATTATATTATGTGGATATTTTCCATCATTGGCTTCAGATCTAATTGAAGACTGCACCAGGTGAGTATCGGTTACAACACTCTCTAGGTCAAAATCAATTGATTGTATTTCACATTTTGATTCATATCTTGTTTTCTTCAGGTATCAATTTCTAAACCCTAAAATATTATTATCAGTATTTTGGCTAATAGATTAGGTTCCAATTTGTGATTTTTATGAGTCTTTTAGATGTCAAGAAACAGATTGCACATGTTGTCATTGATAATCAGGTAGCTCTTTTGTTTATTCTGGATTTTTGGCTTCTTCTTTAGAGCTTGCTTGCTGGATTTAACTACAAATTTACAAAAAAACCATTGGTGGATGTTCCACCGAAAGATGTTCTGATAACTTATGAGGTTTTGATACTTTCTTTTATTTCTTTAATTTATGAGGTTTTGATACTTTCTTTTATTTCTTGAAGCAACACACAGTTTATATAATTGAAAAGATATTACAGAAGTTAAAGTAAGATATAAAATATAACCAGAAAACCAGAAAATTGGAGGTTTTGATGCTACTAGTTTACATAATGGTAAAAATGGTTAGTCCATCTTTCATGGACTTGATTACTTGGGTTTTCTTTTTTATATGAAGGCATCTGATTTCACACACTTCCGGTACTCTGTTAGTGCAATTATATTACACATTATAGGAGGTTTTTGGCTGTCTAATGTGCTCTAACTGATTTTCTGATAACTTCTTTATGAAATGAGAGCTTACATCAGGGGAATTGGTCACTACCATCAGCACATTTGTTAATTCTTTAATGTTTGCATATAATTATTCACGATAGATGATGGATCAACTTTTCTTTCAAGCTCTCTTATAATGTTGCTGTTGCAACTATACCAATATGAATCCTGGTATATCTGTAGCATTAACTGACATGTAACTTCATGCAAGTGGAATAAGCTTAAAGTCTACAATTTTTTACAGGCCCACTTGATAAGTGTCATTTTTATAGTTACTGTGTGCCTGGGCCAGCTTGTGTGTACCTCGACTAATCACATGGGGTCTTAAAGATAACAACCAGAAAAAATCTTCAGTGGCCTTGAACTGGTGATCTATGGGGAGGAGCCCCAAGGCCTAACCCTTATTTGCCTGTTTAGCTGGGAAGATAAGTGTCATTTACATTGATGCATATTTTTACAACCTGTTCATTGCTGTTTTATCTAGGGGTGAGCAGCGAAACCGGGTACCCACTTGTGGAACCGAAACTTTCTTGGAACTGCCGGTTCCGGAACCGGAACCGATATTAGTGGTTCCGGTTCCTAAAATACGGGACCGATTGAGAATGGTTCCGGTTCTCAATTTTTTGGAACCGTAACCCGCCGGAACGGGTCCCGGGACAGGGTACCCGGAACCGGTGTGTGTACCCTGAACGGAACCGGAGGGTACCCGGTATTTTTCAATTAAAAAAATAATTCATTTTTTTAATACTAAATTTAAATTAGGTCAAGAACTTAGATCTCTAGATTAGATTTTTGGTCCCGCTTCTGCGCCTCATCGACTCATACTCTCAGGCCTGAGACCTCTTATGGACCGTCTTCAAATCGAATTATAGTATGTAATCGTTAAACTTTGAACATTTACAATTATAGTATGTAACCGTTAAACTTTCAATATTTACTAATTAGTCTATTATGGTTTGTAATCATTAAACAATATTTGTAACCATTATTCCGTATAATTTGTATTCTTGTTTATTTATTTAGTGTTTTAGCAATGTTTTATTTTTTATTTTTAAATAACAAAATTTTAAAATTTTAGGAAGCAGTTCCCCGGAACCGGTTCCCGACGGTTCCGGTTCCAAAAATTCAAGAACCGCTCTAACCGGTTCCGGTTCCGGTTCCAATATCTCAAGAACCGCCGGTTCCAGTTCCGGTCAAATAGGGCGGGTACCCGCCTATGCTCACCCCTAGGTTTATCCCACTCAATATCTCCCTAAATATGGCAATATCCCAGCTCAGTATTGAAATGATTCCAAATGGGTTTACCCAAACCGATTTCAAATTTTGGGTCTCCAGCTTCTTTATATTTGACTATGATGCTTACCCTTCCTCCATTCCTTTCCACCTCCTTCTTTCAAGACCCATGCATCTTCATTTTTGTTTGTCTTTACTTCTTTCTATATTATTTTATGGGGATGTTTTCCATCATTGGCTTCAGATTAAATTGAAGGCTACACCATGCGAGTGTCGGTAATAACACTCCCTAGGTCAAAATCAATTGATTGTATTTCACATTTTGTTTCATGTCTTGTTTTCTTCAGCTATAGATTACCTTAGCGATACCCTTGGTGGAAATTTCATCATTTGAGCCTCTCTTGGGGATGATGGCTCTTTTTACAAAGGGATTGTGTTTGGCATCAAGAAAGTTGTGCTGATGGAACAAGACCAATTGTAGGTTCTCTTGTTTTCTGTTGTATTTTTACCAACTTTTTTAGGTTATTATTATTTAACGCCTCTTTCATTGGTGATTTATCTGCAACTTCACTAGCTCAAGGTAATGAGTTGATCTATGATGCTGCAAACCTTTAATTTGTCTTGATCGTAATTGAGGACTTGATATACATCGGGTAATATTATTTTTTAATCTTTTCAAATCAAGGAGATTGACAAAAAGCTTTCAACATATTCCGGTACGTTGTCGAACAAGTAGCAAGTCCTTAAATATTAGAAAGCAATATCATGTAGCTTAATCGTTTGAGTTCTTTTTCTTGCTTAACTTGATGTAATTGTAACATTTCAAGGACATTAACAATAACCTACTTTTATTGTTCTACAAGAAGACTAGATGTCATAATTATCAAAAGCATGTAGCTCGTATGATATGTGTTAATTAGTTTATGGTGCTTGATTGCGAATAGATGAAAATAAAGTTTTGGTTCTATTTAATGTTTTCTGAGTCTTCTCCTTCGGAAGATACTGAAACCCTTGAAAATCTGCAATGTGGCGGTATCCTTTTCAGAGAATGGCTTCCTTTGATGACAGACAACATCATTTTCAGAGAAGGGATTGCTACTACTTCCAGGTTATTTTCCAACTTTCAGGTTGATCCTAAAATGCACATCGAATTTGGTATTTCAGAACTTTATCTTCCCAATTTTTTGTTCACAATAGAAATTTATCTTCCGGTGGTTTTTCTGTTCTGACTTTTGAGTTTTACAAAGAGTCAAACTGATGCATTCTCAAAGAATTAGCTAGAAAACAAAATGATTACAGATGACAGTTTCACTAAAATCAAATGTTTATCCTCTGTATACACAGATTCCTCCTCACTCTAGAACATTCCAGGATTTCGAGAGCCTGGTCCCTTCCTCTCTTTCTTCACAGATCGAGTAACTAGACAAGTATTAGAATACGAAATCACAAAAGATGCATTGGTAAATTTAAAACTTTTATGATGTTATTTGGTTGACATGATGTATAACATGTGTCCAAACTCTTTTCGACAAAACCTGAAAGTCTTCCCGTAACCATTGAGTTTGTCACTTGTCAATAGGTGATTTGCAGGGAGAAGGAAACTTCAAGGCTCAAAGATTAGAAGATACAACAACTGGAGTCCCGGATAGGTTGCCACTTGGATGTTTAGTGAAACTCATATTTTCATTTTGTTATATAAGAATATGTAATTTCGTGTGTACTCTGCTCACCAAAATTAATTTTGTATTTCTCAATTTTATTTATTTTATTAACATTATAAATCTATCGTTTGGCATATAGATATTAAATGAAGTTCTTGTTTTGTAGTATGTATCCTACATACTACAAGAAGTTTCAAACCAAAATCATAAGTGACAACTCTATTACATGAGATCCCACTTCAAATTTGCACCATGGGTACAATTTCTGCATATGGATCAAGGGAGTGGGTCCCTCAAGGGTCTTTTGAAAGAGTTTATACAAACCAATYRGCTTTGAATTACTTTACTGAGTTTTGGCTTAGACTACAACTTTCATCCAAGATTTTTTATTATGGTTTCTTATCGGTTGTGGGATAAGGATGACTAATTCAGCTTTCAACCAAGATTTCTTGTTATAGTTTGACTCTTGTTTTGGCTGCGGTCTTAGTATCAATTTAACTGTTGGCTGCTGCCTTAGGCATGGGGTTCATCAGTTGCTATCCTTCTTGGGCTTGGTTCAGAATTTGTGGTTTGTCCTGATCAGGTATTATGGTGATATAAGGATGGTTTTATGTATTTATGATGCTGCTGGCTCGTTGCTTTGGGACTTCTGGATTATCAACAGCTCTATCACTTTTGGCCTGTACTGCATGTGTTATGGATCCTTACATTTTAGAAGTTTTGGTAGATCTGATATGGTTTCGGTCCATTTTTGGGGCCTGTTGTAGCTGTTTTACAATTATTGGGTTTGGACCGATGCTGTTGATCTACTCTTATTCTGCACCTGCTCTTTTCTGCTATTCATTTTATTGGTGGTTGGTGTCTTTAGGGGTCCTATACAGATTTTCTTAAAATAAAATTTGTATTATTTGGTTTTGGTCTCTTCTCCATGATGGATGGTTTAGAATTTGTATCGTCTGGATGGCCATGGGTTATTTTGCTGTTTTTCTGTTTTGTTGGCTGCTGGTACAAGCTTTAGGGAGGAGCAAAGTGCCATCGATATTGGATTGTGCTTGTAAGTATTTGAGCTCAGTTTCAGATTGGGTTAATTTGTGTTCTTAATATTCTTTTTCTCTACATATTCTTAGTATTCTTTTTCCCAAGCTTATTATAAACCATAACTACTATATTGGTTGGTTTTGTTGGTGACAATCGGTTGGAGATTTATTTAGATTGCTTCAATATGGCTGATAATTAAAAATGATTCATATATAGCTATACTGCAATTCTACCAGAGTAAAGCTTACTTTGCCTATGTGTATCATGTATCTTCCCCATTATTCATTTTTCGGCTGCATAACTTCCCAAAGAGACATCAGGAAGAGTGATGCCTACCATAACACCATTAACAAGACCAGATTGTTGCAACAACTTACCTGTTCGAGGCACCAGGATACCATCTAACTCTTCTCAGAAATAAGCTGGTTTTAAGATGATCATTCAGACAACTGGGTTTTTCATAAGAACTACCGGATCTTGCAGGTCTACCACTAGAGCTAGTTGCAACATTTCCCTTGTCACCCTTTCCTTCTACTGCCACTGAATTTGCTCCACTTATATGATTGCAGTTTAATGCTAATTCAAAGTATCCTCCATTAGTTTGCAATGCATCTTCTTTAACACCTTGATCATCCATGGATGTCTTAACCCTTTTGTTTTCATCATTTTAGAACTCTTATCTCTTTGTGTAGAATTGCATTTGCATAATTGGTCCATGCATTAGACTTGCAAGGAAGAAGGCTAGCAAGCATTAAAGTAATCAAGCTTGGACCTTGACTTTTGAAGATACAAGTTGACATCAATAGTGATTTTGCAGAATTAGAGCTCCTTGGAGTGACATAAGCACATATATGGTTTTTGTTGTTTTTTCCTTAAGTATGGACTTGAATGTTGTTATTTGTTTAAAACAGTTTATACACTACCTTCTTCCTTACATTTATTCAGATTTTACATTCCTCCGAATTGCACATGTACACAACTAGTACATTCAAAAATCATATATGAAAGATAAAATAGCAAAGAATTGACCTTTTAAGGAACAGTGTCATCGACAAAATACCGCCTGAGAGAACACACGAACAAGTTTATTAAGAATCAACTCTATGCCAAAATCAACTTGATGGAGAGAAACTCTTAAACATGTTATGATATCAACTTACTTTACAATAACATATGCAGGTTATCAACTTGAAACATATCTCCTATAGCCCCCAACAAATTAGGATCCACAACAAATTAATAAAAACTATATAATAATCAGAAGAAACATAAAATAACAAAGATTGGCTACCCTTCTCATCAAGCATCACATAGAGCATGGTTAACAATAAGAAGAAATTGAAGAAAAAAAAATTAATTATGGAATAACCATAATACAAACTAAGACAACCAAATAAAAAATGCATACACATTCACAGTTGTAAAAGGAGATCTAAGAATAGGATGTCCATATCTGAAAAGATATGGATCTACTAACTCATCACAAAAAAATTAAAGAAACTCAATATCATAAAAGACCCAAGTATTAAATAGAAGGCTAAAAGTTTACATTAAAATTGTTAATATGCGAGCAGAACACCAAAGAAACTTGAGAGATCTATACCCAAATCCATGCACACACACATATATTAATCGAAGAAGAATGGTACCTCAATTGAGTTCAAGGTGGCATTGAAGAGAGAGGGAAGAGTCATGTCTCCAACATGAACATTTTCTTCAACCCACATTCATTGACCCTGAAGTTCTAAGGAGACGCAAGAAACTGCCACATTGCACAAATGGACATTATTAGAGCTCAAAACCTACCTTTCCCAACCATTAAGTGTAGAAGTACAAAGGTTAACCTTCAAACTCAAAACATTTAGAATTGAAAAACATATAAAACAACTAATCCCATCACAACAGACCCAAAAATGAATAATTTTATATTTTTATAAACTATTTTGAACCAAGGAAGTGGTCAATTTGAAAATAACAACTAATCCCATCACAACAGACCCAAAAATGAAAACAGTACTATAAAAAGTACCTAGTTTCCATGAGAACTGTGAGCATGCTACAACATCTGCAAGTGGGACTACCAAACAGATCAGAAAATGAGTCTCAATAAAAGTCAACTATATCATTGCCACAATCCAACTTCCAACTTTCTTGTGGAGAAAGATCTGCAAGATATTATACCAGCAATTAAGAATTTCATCTTTGGAATCTTTATAACACAATCAGGTATTTGTCCTTACCAGAAAAGCAAAATAATAGTTTGAACGTTCGAATCACCTTGACAAATCAACCGCAAGAAGCAGAATATATACTTTCAGCTAACATTCGCATTCTCCCAAAGGTTATTCTGCAATTATTTCTAGTATAGAATGAGTCAATCATCCACTTTAGAAATTAGAATACATTCATGAGCAACTAGGAGCCATTTGGCAGTCCCCACAACAACACCACCAACAAAATTCAATTGATTCACCTATCATGTTTATCTCCGTTCTTTTACAAAACAATGATCTTACATGGCTACCATGATTTTTCTTACTCTACAACACCATCAAGAGAAGGTGTTATATTCTCATACCTTCTCAATGAAAACATGATTCAGTTGCTGGAACACATACTTCATCCTTCATTGGTGCTTTCAGTTCCTTCAAAAGGGATAATATTTCACCAGAACTAGAATGGGACTCATCTCCTGAAACAAACATGTGTGTGTCCCGTCCCAACTTAATCCAGCTATGTCCAGGATGCTTTTTAACTCCCTTTTCCTTCATTTCCCTCCTGACAAAGTTCACTTGGTCCCAATGCCCTGAAGCTGCATATATATTGGAAAGCAACACGAAAGAAGCTGAGCTTTGGGGCTCTAAAGTAGAGAGCTCTTCACTTGCACGTTTTCCTCTTTCTTCATCACCGTGTATTCTACAGGCCCCAAGAAATGTAGCCCAAATGATTGCATTTGGTTTAAATTCTAGTTTGTTAATGAATTCCTCAGCCTCCTTGAGATAACCCCATCTCCCAAGAAGATCAATCATACAGGAAATATGATCCATGCGTGGTTGAATGTTATAGTGATTGGTCATGGTATCAAATATATGACGTCCTTCAGAAACTTTTCCCGCATGACTACATGCAGTAAGTACTCCGAGCAATGTGACATCATCAGGCTTTATATTTGACTGCCTCATTTTGCCAAAGATTTGTAGTGCATTCTCAGCATACCCGTTTTTGGCAAATCCAACTATCATTGAGTTCCATGTGATGACATCTTTTTTCTTCACTAATTCCTTAAAGACTTGTGAAGAACTTGCAACATCCCCACACTTTGCATACATGTCTACAAGAGCACTGCCAGTCAACTCATCCAAGTCAAAACCCGTGTGGAAAACAAGCGAATGCACCTCTTGGCCATCCTGTAGAGACGCCAAGGTCGCACATGCTTTAAGAACACTAACAAATGTTGCTTGATCAGGCATGGCATTGTATCTGCGCATTTCTTGGTATATCGCCAGTGCCTCCTTGCTGCAATCATTTTGAACAAGTCCTGATACAACAACAGTCCACAAAACTGTGCTCTTTATGTTTGGCAACTCTGAGAAGACAACCAATGCACTTGCACTTGCCTGGGAGTTGAAATACATGCCCAGAAGAGATACAGCCAAAAATTCATCGTCGTAAAAGAAACCGTATTTTGTCACTAAACTGTGAATTTGTCTCCCAAGTTTTGATTTGGAAGGTTCATTGCAGCCATCCAATATGCTTGCCAACGTAACCTCTGATGGACTCACTCCTTGAGACTGCATACCCTTAAACAAATTTACAGCTAAATCCATGTTTTTCTGAGCATACCCACTAATTAAAGCATTCGTAGATGCTACATTTTTCTCTGGCATGGAAGAGAAAATTTCTTGTGCATCCGAAATGACCCCACACTTAGAATACATATCAAGAAGAGAGCTTCCAGCATAAAGGCTGGTTGCCATATTATACTTGACTAAAAGGCAATGCAACTGTTTTCCTTTGCTGAGAGATTGGATATTTGCACAAGCACTGAGTATACTGGCAAAGCACACCTCATCAGGTGCAATCCCATTTGATCTCATTCTCTGAAACATGCTAAAGGCATCCTCTTCTTCTTCTTCCTGCACAAACCCAACTATCATTACATTCCAAGAAACATTATCTCGATTTTCTATCATGTCAAACTGTTTTCTGGCATCATATAGACARCTGGCTTTTGCATACATATCTACCAATGCATTTCCCACAAATAAATTCGCATCAAACTTGTTTTTGATAGCAAGTGAATGCAACTGTTTCCCTATTTCGACACTTCTCAAARAAGCACATGCGCTCAAAACACTGGTATAAGTAAATTCATCAGGTTGGAAGCCAGAACATCTCATGYTTATAAATAGATGAATCACTTCRTCAACATTTTTATTTTGYGCATAACCCCCGAGCATTGTGTTCCACAAAACAATATTTTTCTCATCTAAAGCATCAAAGACACTCCTTGCAGAATCCATTTCTTGACACTTTGCATACATATTGATTAAGGAACTTCCCACATAAACATTGGAACATAACCCTTGTTTGATTGCTTGAGAATGAACTTGAGAACCACAATCTAGATCAAATGTAATAGCAATAGCACTCAAAACACTTCCTAGAGTGGATCTTGTGGGTTTAACCCCAGATCTAGTCATACCTTGGAAATAATCAATAGCTACATTGTGAGAACCTTCACGAGCATGCCCTGAGATCATGACATTCCATGCAACARCATTTGGATTGGGCATTTGGTTGAACAAATGGCRTGCATCRTCAAGATGTCCCGATTCCAGGCATGCGCTTATGATAGTTACAAATGCTACTTGGTCTGGTATATGGCCCAGTGGCAACATATCCTTAAATAATCTTAGAGCCTTTTCAAGAAAACCAACTTGAACATACCCGGCAATCATCGYCGTMCAAGAAACTGTATCAGAGCATACAGACCCATCAAATATCTCYCGTGCATCATCAACAAGGGCACATTTTGYATACATGTCAATAAGTGATCCTTCACAAAATGAATTACATATGAACCCTGTTTTGATAACATGACAATGCACCACTTTACCCAACACAATGTCAGTCAATCTAGCACAAACCGATAAAACAACGGCATAGGTGAATTGATTTGGATACACCCCATAAATTTGCATAGCGCCGAATATGTGTTTAACATCTTCTAACATTCCATRCCTTGAGTGCATCGATAAAATTGAGTTCCAAGCCCGTGTATCTTTTTGTTCCAACTGCTYGAAAGCTTTTTGAGCAAAGTCCATGTTGCCGCATTTCGCATGCAAATCAACAATGGCATTGCCAAGTTTTCCTTTTGAATCAAATCCAAGTAGCAAACTTTGAGCATGAATGAGGTTAACGGCTCTGGASGCTTGTACGACTGTTTGAGGCGATTCATCAAACAACCTATGGGATTGAACTTGTTTGCAGTATTGCAAACACACCGTCAGAAGACGAGAGTATGCTTGTTGCCCATGAATCATAATGGGTTGTCGGATTCGAAGCTCATGGGTTACTTGCTGCAAATTTCGCACACCACGGCTRCAAAAAGTTCATTTGGTTGGTTTGATGTATGCTCTTTTGCCACATATCACTCGTTAAGGTACTACCATGTGTTTTTGCTTCGTTTAATACTAGAGCTACAAAAGGCACGAAAACAATATGGGTTAAAGTTAAACTGAGGTGCTGCTTATGTGAAACAATGTACTGTTGTTTTACATTGTGAACCAAGCACATGTTAATCACTTATAATGTTCCATTTGAAAATTGCAGTTAAAAATTTCACAAAAGAATATGACGATATTGGAGTCAAAATAAAGGAATAAAATTCTCGTTTTTAAATTTTTATATGTGATTTAAGTATTTTATATTAAAAAATGTGGTGTTTTATTTTAGTTTGAAAAGTAAAGATTTATTATTTATATAGAATATAAGGAACTATCTACTTCCCTTATCGAAATTAGGTCAAACCCTTTTTTTACCATTTATAGGTTAAACTTTCATTTAGAATTAAAATTGGTTAGAGTTTTCGTATTTATTACAAAMTTATCACTTTGTTTCATAGCCTTTGATCAAAACCATTAAATGGTTGAGATTGGACCTCATGGTTCTCAACCTTTTAGGGATACATGATTAAGCCACCCACCCACCCCACTATACATCTATATACACACTTATGTGTGTGAGGAATGGTGTTTAATGTTATTCAGTGAGGTGTGGTTTAAAACATGTATAYCATAACATGTATTAGGCATTCCYAGAAAGACAAGTGACACGTTAATATTTTGGATTTTCAAAGTGACTATGACCTTCGTTTCAACATGCTGAAAATCACCTTTACTTGCTTGATACCACAGTTAGTGCAATATAATCATAATATAACATAACCACATAAGTTGAATTTTAACAAGCTTCAATGGTATATAATCAGCAAACAAATATACAAACGAAGTGTATAAATGATATTCCAAAGTCCAAACACAACAGTAGATGCAGATGAATAAGAATAACAGAAAGCTTAAATTTCAAACAGAACTACAGCAGCAGAACAGAAAGCTCCAAAATTCAAACTCAATCACCCTCCACCATGAAACACAAGTCCAAACATAAGCAATATCAAAAAAAAATTGTCAATAATTCCAAACAAAGTCCCTCAAGACATCAAGAAATGAACAATAAATTTGTACAAATTCATCCAAAAAGTTTGTGATACAAAACATATAAAATCAGAAGAAGCATCCATAAAATGAATACCCTATAAATTTATGTAACTATATTTTTAACATTCCAATCATGATAAAGTTAAATACTTTAGATCAAGCAACCCGTAAACAAAACTCGTAACCTTCAGGTTTGATCGAATAAGGAGTAGAACACAAGTCAGATGTTGTGAAGCAACAAGACGAATCTGAGATCTCAATTCTGGATTAGGGTTTTCTGGATACAAGAAATAGAACACCAAACCATTGCTATTCCAGAAGCCAAATCAAGCCCCTTGGTGGGGGTTTTTCTTCGAATCGAAGCCAGTCAAAACCTTGGTTGCATTTTTCTTTGAATGGAAGCCAATTTGTTGCATTTTTTCAAATCCCGGAAGTCAAAACCCTGTGTTTTATTTGGATTTGAGGTTGTAGTAGATGCCAAATAATTTGGTGCAAAACGATTAAGTGGTCAGAATGATAAAGAGGCTATGTATGATTTAGTGCATAATAATGACGGGTAAATGTTTTGAATGGGATGTCTATATGACATAAAATAACCATTTTAACCCTCTTTTATGACTTAATGTTTAATGAAATATGACCACTTGATAAATATTCTAAACTAACAAATTAACTTGCAAATATAAATTACAAAAAAATATAAACCATATATCACTTTGCAACATAACATACATCAATCAAAACATTTATATATAGTTCATCATAGGTCATAAAAATGGTATATCATAAATGAACAATGGAACTAATGGTCATGGATGCAAAGAAGAGCAAAAGAACTGGGGAAGAAAAAGGACTGGAACTGGGTTGAATAATGCCCTGTTGTAACATCTCATGTACCATTACCTCAATTTGATTTWTTTGGCTGTGGGCATATCTGTATGGACGAACTTTAATTGGGTTACTACCATCCAAAAGGGGTATAGCATGATCATGGGACCTTGTAGGTGGCAACCCGGATGGTGTGGCAAACACATCCTGAAACTCCGTCAAAAGAGTTTGCAATTAAGCGTTGAATTCGGAATCATCAGATTTGTGCACCATAGGATCGCTAACGAAACAGAAGAACAGTATTTGATAAGACTCGGCTAGGGCTCCAGTGGTGTGCATTCTTTGAATGTGGTGGTACTGGGCAGGTTGAGGAAGGGAAACATTGTTACCATAGAGGGTAACGAAAGAGTTATCGTGATAAAATTTMATTGACAAGGCATTGAAGTCAGCGATACGGGGTCCTAAAGTTGCTAACCACGAGGCRCCAMGAACCAATTCTGCACCTGTAATAGGCAGAAGATAAACCGGTACATGTAAACGATGCCCTTGAATGACAACATGCAGATTGTCGACAAAGCCCTCAGCTGTGAGATTATTGCCATTGCCCACCATGACTTTGAAATTAGGATAAGGTTGAATTGGCAATTTTAGACAATGAGCTAATCGAGGTTGGAGGAAATTATCAGAGCTCCCACTATCGAGGAGAATTTGAAGTTCCATTCCATTGATATACCCAGTAAAACGTAAGGTACCTTTGCTTTGATATCCCCGAATAGCGTTAAACGATAAATGATGGTCCGGTGGAGGAAAGGAAACAGGGGGCTCTTCTATAAAAGGAGGGTCAGATGAATGAGTAGTGGTAATAAAGTGAATGTCCTCATCATCTCCCATCAGTAAGAGCATTTGGCGATTTGGGCATTTATGCCCGAGGGAGAATTTTTCGTCGCAGGTATAGCACAGGCCCTTTTCACGGCGGATCTGCATTTCAGCCGGTGAAATACGTTTGATCGAAGGTTGTTTAGAGGTAGCGGTTATGGGTTTTGAAGGGGTCGGTAATAACGGCGGTAAGGGTGATTTTGTGGTGGCGAGAGGAGTAGTTGAGCGAGGAAAGGAAGCAGGGGTGTAAGGTTTACTTACCGGGATGGAAACATATTTTTCCTCAAGGAGTTTAGCCAGAGATACCGCTTTCGCCAAGGATTGTGGGCTTTGGGCGATCACATCCCGACGAATGTCGTTACGGAGCCCACTAATGAAGCAATCAAGCAAGGCCTCGGCACTGAGTCCTTGAATCTGATTAGCTAATGTTGTAAACTCCATGTAGAAATCAACAACAGTGGTGGATTGTATGAGCTTGAAGAGATTTGCACGAGGGCAATCAAACGGTGAAGGACCAAATTCCAATTCCAAGGCCGAACGAAAGGAAGCCCATGTAATGAAAGGTTTACTATGTATTTGAAACCATGGCACCACACCTTTGTCAAGGTGAACGGCGGCTATTGTAATACGTTGAGCATCTGGTGTGCCATAATAATCAAAGAATTGCTCCGCCTTAAACAACCACTGCATTACCTCTGTCCTGTCAAAACGCGGAAAATCCAACTTGACATTACGGACCTGAAATGGTGGGTGAATGAGCTGTCCTTCACGCCCGCTAGAGTTTGCGAGAGCAGCTTCCAAACGAGCGATTTTAGCTGTATGCTCTGATCTTTGAGTGGTGTATTCTTCATGGCGTTTCTCCATTAGGTCAATCATTTTCTTGAAATCTGCTTGTATCTCCTTGAATCTTGTAGCCTCTGCCATAGAGAGGTATGGAATGAAAGCACCAATGTAATGACGAGTGAAATAAACACTAAGACAAATCGGGTTGCAAATACTTTATTAATTGATGAAGCTATCTGGATAAAACATCACAGTATGCTTTTAGGGAAAATAAAGGACAATTGTAGTGGTAAGCTTGAAATACAGAAGAAGAAGATAACAGAGAATTCTAGAAGGAGAGAGAGAGGTCTTTTTCCAATCGCAGCCTTATTCCTTGCACCCCACTGCACTATGTAGTACCTCCATCCACGTATTTTCTATTGGGCCTCCTGATTCGGTTACCTCTCCTGATGGGCTGTATGGAAGGATTTGCTGCCACATGTCCCTCCCATTCCTCATTGCCGGTTGTAGCTTGTTCCCCACGTGATATTGTCGGTATTGGAATATTGGGCATCACAGTGTGCTAGAATTTATGTCCTCATATAATGGTCACGAACATATGTTGTATATTAACAGCTAAACTAGAAAAACGACCTCAAATATTGTTCCCTCTTGCAATCTGTTTATCCAATGGCCACAACAAGTACTTCAATGTAGAATTTAGAACACAACATAAAAAACGTATACATGGCTATAAATACCTGCATCTATCACCAAAAGTCAGATTCAATAAGAAGGATTATAAAATTGATGGTATCGGTTAAGCTTAACCTACATAACCCAAGTCCTAACTACTAGAATCAACGTGGAAGAAAATGGAGTAATTGATCATCTGAACTAAGCAAAGAACTAAAAAAGTCATCACAACTGAAGTGGCAATTAGAAATGCATAAATCTGAAATTTAAGCTCATAAACAAAATCATACCGAACAAATAAACAATGATCAAGAGACTTCGGGTAACATAAAGTCAAAAGATATTTGATATTTAAGCTCATAAACAAATTARTTTACAATGAAATAACAACAAAGGCAAAAATAGGCTTCATTTAAGAAATTCTTCCCACAAGACTTGCAATGTTAACATGGTGAGTTGCTCTTCTCTAGAACCATAGAACAATTCTTTTGTAAGAATAAGTTGTCATTGAGTTAATATCCTCAAACAGGTCAAGTCATCAATGCTTTATAATGTTGTAGTTTGGTGTTATAATGTGAGATAGCATACATATGTAGGGATGGTAATGGGGCGGGGACCCCAATACCCATCCCCGTCCCCGATCCTCGTATGTGTCCCCGTCC